GGGAGATTCCCTAATACCCAATAAGATCGAATTATCGCTTATTAAACAATTGCTTTATGAAGAGACCAATCACACACGACTACTCAGATCCTAGTAGTTCGCTGGGGGTCTCAAACAAGGATTTGTGCAATAATTCGCAGACGGTTATTTACAGGGAAATTTCCGTCTGCGGCGTAGGCTACGGAAACTGGAGCCGTCACGCACTGGGGACCTCTTCATTGGCATAGACTTCGACACTATGACATATCCGTCTGTAAAACCTCGGTTGTAGATAAAAAATGTCGATTTTAGCAATAGACAGAGGTTGAAAGTCAGTTAGTGATACAATAGTATATTAAAGTGGTGGCGTCAAACAAACACATAATCTTTGATTACTATACTACTAGTTTGTAGACAGTTATTTCCAGGTCACATGGTAGTGAGTATACAACAGTTTTCCTCACTTTTGGCCAAACTAACCCTAACCCTAGCTAACCCTAAGTATTACCGGTATCGCAGAGGTCACGGGTTCGAATCTCGTTCAGGTCTGAATTTTTTTTCAGGCGTTAATTTCTCAACTGCTTAAGTTGTGTTCATAACTGCGATGATCAATCATGTCTTTATATGTTTCTCCGCAGTTCAAATATATGATTTCATATGTTCACTTGTATTCTTCACCATCTACGGTTATATTACGAACTCGCAAAATGACCAGCTCCTAGATGGCTCAGTTCGTAGAGCACTGCACCGGTATCACAGAGCGAGTCATGGGGTCGAATCCCATTCAGGCCTGAATTTTTTTCAGGCTTTAATTTCACAACTGCTGAAGTTGTGTGCATAACTGCGATGATCAATCATGTCTTCATATCTTTCTCCGCAGTTCAAATATATGATCTTACATATATTCACTGGTATTAAATTAATGTTATTTCAACCTAGAAAAGGTATTTTGGATAAATTTTAAACCAATCACAATGGCTAAAGCGTTTTGTCAGTTGTCAGCCTGAAATATGACTACAAATGTCAGTTGTCAGTTAAATTCTCGGGTATTAATAAGTTGTCAGTTATTTATTATTATTATTATTATTTTGCCATTTGTCAGTTGTTATGTAACCTCGTCCAGACCATCGTTCATGGCCTTGAATGAAGGCCACATAAGCATAATATTCGCGGCAAAATCATTTCAAATCTCTACGTGCGAGAATAGCAAGGGAGAAAATTGTAGTATCTTGTGCACTCCCTACATTTGTTAATCGCATCTTAAACATCTGATATAGTCAGCCAATACTACCCACAGTGGAGTGTCGCATACACTTCCCAGCATCAAAGTCGTATGGAGATCCTAATAACAGATTCCCATCACATGTAAGCCTTGCGGACCTACCTTTCTCGTTCGTGGACTTGTCCTGTTCCGACCGAGTAGGACTTGCTCGAGAAGTGTTTGACTTGGCGCGTATTTATTTTCCACTTTGGAGGAACGAAAATGACTTCAGCCAAGAAAGTCTACTCGACTTTGCACTGATCTTAGTTCATGACCTGTAGGTATAATTTCTCTTTTATCTGTCTGCATTCTTTGTAAGTCGCAGTTGATAGATTCGATCGAGGA